GTGTAGAAGCTCTAGAGAAACAGCTCAGCTTCCATCAGACACACAAAGATAGGAGAGATAAGGGTATGTATTCCTGCTGCTCAAGTTCCAACACACAAACCACAATCACACATAAATACAGAGTCATCAGGAAAGGGAGTGTGGGACTGCTTCTTTTCAGAGTCCTAGACATACAATCCCAAAGGGCTAAGCAGACCTCTGAGCATCTGACACACACAGGTGGTACTCACGGTCAGAGCAGTAGTCTCCCTGCCATCCCTCCAGGCATACCCTGTTTCCATTCTCATCGCAGGTGTAGTGTCCCAGTGTATCGTCACGAGGACGGCAGTAATCTGAACATGCCTCACCGAAGTAAAACTCATCACAGAAAACATGATACGAGTAACGGAGCTCACTCTGGTCTCCAAAATGTACATCCTGAGACCAGTCTTCTCCAATCGCCAAGCGCCTTCGTGTTGCTAAACGACTGATTAGGTTGTTTTGATTCTCTGTTGTGGAAAAATAAAGAAAAACTTAAGCTTGAAGGAATAATTGAATAAATAAATTTTTTTTTTAAAACTCTTATGTCTGTATGTTTGCTTTCCATCACACTGTGTAGCCCACCTGTGTAGTCATGATGCTCTTTTGGAGACTCAGCATTCCATGCCTCAATAATAAGAGAAAACGTCCCCTGAAAAGAACAAGATGTTATTTTAGATGTTAAAAAAGCATCGTATCATCTTTGCTGAAACTGAGAAGCAAACATTCTCTATTGTCTTCCACTTATATGTGACCCTGGACCTGCACCCTCAGATTCTATTCAAATTGTTGTTTCAAATAGTTATATGTTCCTATCCTAACAAACATACATCAATGGGGAGCTTATTTATTCAGCTTTCAGATGATGTATAAATCTCAATTCTTTTTTTATTGAACCTTATGACCAGTTTTGTGGTTCTGGGGTCACATATTTGTTATGAACTGACAGTTCCAAACTGTTGCATGGTCTTGTTTATGGTCTTACAGTAAGTGTTAAACTTAAGTGCATCTAGACAGTAATGCAAAGAATGTTCATCTAACTAAATACACCATGAAACACTGGAATATTGTTTACTTAAGTTAATCTAGTGCGTAATGAACTTTACCGGCCACTTGAAGTGGAAAGGCACCCGGATGGCTGCGCTGCTGGCTATAGAGCTCTGGTCCGCTCGCAGGACATTCGTCTGTCCGGTTCCGAAGGTGCACGGAGGCTCAGCGGAGATGACGTCTTCCGAATGCTTCAGACAAATCCTGAAAAAGATGTTGCAGTCTCGCGTCCTCCTGCAGAAGCGGCGTGTCGTGCTGAACGAGTGAACTTTCAATTCAAATACACCCGATGAAGCCACCTGTTCACGAATAGAGAGTGACTTCTGAAACTTTTGGAAATAACAAACAGAACTCTATACCTAGGGGGCAAATATCTATAAACTCACATTCAAGAGAAAATGAAACGATAAACGAAGTATAAGCCCTGAACTGGCTCCTTACCAACTGCAAAAGCGACACAGACAGCAGGCAGTACAAAGACAGATGCGCCATCTCCCTCAGTTAATCCTAAACTTTATTACAATAACACACAGGTATCTTCATCCGTTACTTCCCAGACTTCAAAGTGTTTGGAGATAAAGAAAAAAAAAGATGTCCTGGTACGAAATCCTCGTCAGGTCCATAAAAGTCCACTGTGTATTCAGAGGAAAAGCGCACTCGTAATCTTCGTCTTTCAGCGCGTGCGGTTTGTCTTCATTGAATGTCTTGATGAATGGATGCTGTTTTATACGCCTTGCCCCCCTGCACGTGACGTCAGCGGGGACATATGGCATAATATTGGCCTGATTAAATTGATCTGCTGCATGTGGCAGTGGTGTTGATGGAGTTAGAGTTGAAGTTAGCCTCACTGCTGCCTGTATCAGAACAGGGAATTTTAATTACAGTGATACATGCCAGATGGGCACAGTTCTCGAGTATGAAAACCTGACGAATCTTCCTTTATTTTGTGAGGCATTAAAAAGAAATTTAGCAAACAGCAAGTTTTACACTTATGTCGAATTTTAGAATTAGTTTATTATTCGTACGCCTTGAATATACGCACATAATTATGCATAGATTAATACGTTGCTGTAGACAGGCTATCTGTAGCCTATTAGATTTGGTTTTGTTTTGTCTTCAATGAGCCTCTATGGAAAATATTCCCAGCAG